ACATGATATGTTATGCTAAGAGAAGTGTACCACACATGATTTTGAATATGAATATGAATATGCCTACGTTTCCGATCTGATAAGAGATTGATTTTCTGATTTCTGCATTCAATATGGTCATCATTCATTAAATCCCTTTACGCTGTTATTATTCACTGGGCTTTAGCTCACTCCTTATATTATGTATGTAGGTGAGCAAGTACGAGACCAGGCCTGGGGTTGATGACCTGCACCCTAGTTTTGTCAGCCAACCGTTGCGCCTCTCGAGGAGGTTCCAGTTGAAGTGAATTGCCATGGCTGTTTTTGTAGTTATGCTAGTCTCCGTCTGTTTGTAAAGTCGAGACCTGGGAACTACAGTCTGTAAATAATATTGTAAATATTGGTGTCCCTTGACTAGCATGCTTATGATCATAAATAAATTTGATTTACTTTATCCCATGTACGTCATCACAGCTCATTGGACTTTGTTTATTTTGTCTAGTTACTTCCGCAGCCCCTTAATACTTGCTAATCTGCTAAGAGGCCTTTGGTAATCCGAGGATTACTGGCCGGTTACGACGCAAAACCTATAGGGGCGGGTTTGGGTCGTGACAAGTGGTTTCCCAAATTTTGAGTGGTTACATCTGTAATCTGTTAATCTTGATTTTGACTTTGCTAGGTTGGCTAAAAAGTGACCTCCACCGAATAAATTTAAGTTCAATTGGATGTGTGGTAATGGTAGTAGTAGATGAAAGTGAGGAGAGCATGTATGCACAACACCCACACATCTATTCTATTATTAAAACCAATCACAAAAGTGAAACATACAACCAATCACATAGGAACAAATGCAAAATACATGCAAAACATGGTGAACACAGTGAAGATGTTCAGAACTTACCAAATAAAAAAGGGAAGAAACATATACAATTATGCCCAACTTCTCTATACTCCTCTTTCAATTATCCATAAAGAAATTGAAGGAAAAAAAATCAATCAACAATACATAAACAAACTTCTTTAACTTTGAAACGTAGCTATTAGATTGCAGCAAAGCCATTTTAGTCTCAAGGCTAATGAATTACTAATAAAAATAAAAGGCATTTTAGAAGTTCCTTTCACACAATTCCATCCAACCTTCCTTTAGTCTCAAACATTTTATAAATGTATTTAGTTTTATCATAATAAATGGCACTGCAATCAAAGTTTTGCTAAAATTCCAAACCAATATCAAGGACTCACATCAGACAGAATTCAAACAACAAATTCAAACAATTCAAACAACTCAACACAGCGATGAAGAGTAGAGAAAGGGAGCAAGTTCGAAGTCTTACCTTGCGAGTGTGAGTTCGAAGAGAGCCGAAGGAAAAACAGCATTGTTTGAATTGCAGCAAGGGAAATTGCCCCTGTATTCCAGTCAGTAAATTTTCTGTCAGCGTTGTAATTTTAATTTCGGACAGAATTCTTCATTTAGTAAATCATAATGTAACACAGGCAGAAAGAGGAGGAGAAAAGAAAACTTTAAAATATAAATTTAACGGGAGGAGATGCTCTCATATATGATAATATGAGCACAAATGGACTTTTCTGTCATATATCCAATGAGATATATATGTAATGCATACACGCATGTGCATGTGTGTTTTTATGGGTCTCTTATTTGTAGATTATGAGAATTTCTACCCAAATAATAAGAAGGAAGCAGCGAAAGGGGATGAGCAAAAATCAGAGTCAAAAGGTGAGTTAGTAACTTTTTATTTACAATTTATTCCATGTGAATTGTGGATTTAGTGTTGTATTCTTGTCATTGATGGCAATGTTGCTGAACTAATCTTCCATTTGGTTGTCAAGAAAAAATGAAAAAGAGATTGTAGGGGGAAAAAAAAAACACTCATCAGTTCTACAGTGAGCAAGAAATTGGGTATCATCGAATGGAAACACAAAAACACACACAGCCACAAAAGAGAGAGAGAGAGAGAGAGAGAGAGAGAGAGAGAAGGGGAGAGCGCAAGAAACAGGTATGTCTTGATATCTACACATAACATAACATGCGCAAAACTCACTATACTTTTCTCATATATGATAATATGAGCACAAATGGAATTTTCTCATGTGTGTTTTGCCCACGAAAGTAGGCAGATGAAAACTATGCAGGCTTTGTCGATTAAATTTTTAAGGCCAATCGTAATATCTAAAAGAATATAATGCATACACATGTATTTCAGCATCTAAGGCTAAGGCATTGTTCCTTTGAATAGTCAATAATCGAAAGTTCCAAAATAAGTAAACTTAACCTGCTAAATCTCAAATGAAACTAAAAAGCTTAGCAATCAAATGCTTTTCCATTACAAAACATCTAACTTTGAATACAAATTTTCTTTTTTAAAAAAAAAAAAAAAAAAACAACAGAGCATGGAAATGGTTAAAAAAACAACCCAATGGAACAAACACCCAATGATTAGCAGTTCAAAAAATTATTAGAATCTGAACCCAACAGATTCAGAAAATAAATCAGGGAAAAACTTAGCAATCAAATACTTTTCCATTACAAAAAATCAAACTTTGAACACAAAATTTTAAAATATATATATATATATATATATGTGCACAAATGGACTTTTCTGTCACATATCCAATGAGATATATATGTAATGCATGCATGCATGCGCATGTGTGTTTTGCCTACAAAAGTAGGCAGATGAAAACTATGCAAGCTTTGTCCATTAAATTTTTAAGGCCAATAGTAATATCTAAAAGAATATAATGCATACACATGTATTTCAGCACCTTAGGCTAAGGCATTGTTCCTTTGAAGAGTCAATAATCAAAAGTTTCAAAATAAGTAAACTCAACCTGCTAAATAAAATAAAATCCCAATCAACAAATCCAACTTCTAAATAAAATAAAATCCCAATCAACAAATCCAACTGTATAGGGATAAATTGAAAATGAAGTCTAATAGTAAGAGGAACAATACATTATTTAACTGTATAGTATAGAGATAAATTGACATTTTTTTCACTATAATATTCCATATCAGTTTAGGTGTTTTCTTTTGTCTAAAATTAACAATACATTATTTAAAAGAAATACAAATAAAACAAAAATGATTGCCAATAACAGGATAAAATAATAAAATTATGGAAAGAAATCCTCTTAACCACTCTAATACTGTTTTTAAATTCAACACTTTAGTTTTGATCCTTTGTCTAGAATATCTACACATAACATAACGTGTGCAATTGAAATTGTTTTGCTGGGAGACGAGTGGTGAGAGTAGAAAGCAAATTACACATAACATAAAGTGAACTTACCAAATCCAGTGAACTTTCAGAAGAGAACTTTTAGAAGAGAACTTTCAAAACTGATGTTTATGCACATGCAAACTATATTCAATTCACTGCATGTCTGCCAGGGGGTGGGGATGAAGAAGTAAAAATGCTTCAATATAATGTTAAACCAGACGATTAAATACCTATTTACCCTAATCTATCACAGACGCTGAAATTAAATGACAAAAATAGGAGTTAAAAATATGTTCCATTGATTAAATACCTATTTACCCCAATCTATCACAGAAGCTGAAATTATATGATAAAAATAGGAGTTAAAAATATGTTCCACTTATTAAATACCTATATACCCCAATCTATCACAGAAGCTGTGGGAGTTACACTTATGGATTCAAAAAATAAGATAGAATCAATAATTTCGTTAGCCTATTCATTAGCAATCAAACAATTAGTAGCAGTTAAAAATTAAGGTTTTAGTTCACTCACGATTAGGGTTCTTCACTTTGAATCTTGGAATCTCCTTCACCCGATAAAGAGAGAGTTCGAGAACAACGCCAAAGCGTCGAACAGACAAAAAGAAATCGAAACAGAGGGAGAAAGCTATGGGAGTTACACTTATGGATTCAAAAAATAAGATAGAATCAATAAATTCATTAGTCTATTCATTAGCAATCAAACAATTAGTAGTAGTCAAGGATTCTTCAAAATTAAGTGAAATTAAGGTTTTAGTTCACTCACGATTAAGGTTCTTCACTTTGAATCTTGGAATCTCCTTCACCAGATAGAGAGAGAGTTTGAAAGCAGCGCCAAAGCGTCGAACAGACAAAAAGAAATCGAAACAAAGGGAGAAGGGGAGAGATAGAAATCTAGGAAATCTTACCTTGCAAGCCGAGCGATGAGGGAGAGATAAAAATTTATGAATAAATGCTCCTTCTAATTATTCCAATAAAAAATATTTTGTTAATGGAAATATAATTTTTAACTATTTTCTTTTTAAACAATTACAATTTGTAAATGAAAACACATTTATATTACTTAGCTTCTTTTTTTCCTTTTTTTTTGTATGAGAAAAATAACTTGCTGGTGTATTACAATATATATTTTCACATACATTTATATAATTGTTTTTTCACTATTTTATGGAGACATTGTTGATTTATCATAGATCATGTCATTGATATTATTATTTAGATGTAATAACTTTTACAATCCTGTAAAAGTTCACCAATATTCTGATTCTAACATATTATTTTTATACAATGTGTCACATCACGTAGTTTAATTAGTATAATTTTACAAAAAATCTGTCACATCAATACAACAATTAATAATAACTTGATTATTCATTATAGTGGTCCATATCCAAACATATTAGATGCCTGTTTTTTTTTTTGTTTGTGTTGTTCTAGGTTGGTCGACCTCATTATCTTTCCAACAACATAGTTGATCCTTATGTATATTTTGTTCCTCTAAAAGCTAAATTGCGGTTTAATACTTAAAAACAAAAAAATAATTAAATCTTAAAATTCAGTTGAATTTAGTATTTGTTGAAGAAAAAAAAAATCTGAAAATTATATAAGCTATGTGTTTATTTATTTATTTTTCCTTCGCAATTGTTTCATAGATTCAAAATTAAAAAATAAAAAATAAAAAATAAAATTGTCCAGATCATCACCAGCATGTCAAACAATTAAAATCCGTTTATTTATTCACAGAAGTATATAATGATGCACAACACAAGGAAAGGAAAGAGGTCGGTGCTTCAAGGGTTTATTTCCAGTTCGGGGACGACGAGACGAGTACCCCTCCCTCTCTGGTTCAAACGCTATAAACCCTAATTTCTCTACCCTCGATCCTCTCCTCTGCGAATCCCAACGAAAAGTCGCGAAATTCTATACTTTTACCTTGTGGATTTCTCATTCCGATCAGGTAAGCTCTTCTCTCTATGTCTCTCTCTCACACACATACATGTGTATCTTTGTAATTTGAATTGAAGTTCAATTGCTTCGTGTTGATGAACCCACCTTTTGCATGCGTGTGCTTAGATTGATTAGATCAAGTTGTCTCTCTTTCACTCATCTGTTAAAACTGAGCTAAAAGCAAGGGGAGAGAAGAGATTTATATGATTCCGTTTGTTTAGTGTCGTTTTGGGTATCTGAAGTATGAAAATCTTACTTAGATAAGCGGAAGGGTAGTTATGTGATACGAGAGACGAGGTTATAAACTGATTGTTTCAAGGGTGTTTTTTTTTTTTCTTTTTTTTTCTCTCCTCTTTCGGACTTCCTGAATGTTATGCATTTTCAGACACTGGGAAGTTTTGATTTTGTTCATATTGAAAGGGAAAAAAGGATTAGATTTTAAAGTTGGTAGACTCTGCAGTAAAATAACTTCAGCTAAATGGGAATAAATTGAAAGACAAGATGGAATTGTATTTTAAATTGTTGGATCTTTTCATTCTGTTTGGGGTTTTTACTAAACTATAGGTCTTTTATTATTTAGGGTTCCAAGCAATGAGAAATCTAGGATGCAAAAGGTTTATAATTTTTCCTTCACTTTATTAGCAACCAGAAGGAACATAAATTCAACGAGTCACCTGCATTTTATCAAGTGGTTTGGTCATCATTATCGTATGATCTTCTGTCTCGGAGGTTTTTTAAGTCAATGGTCCTTTTATTATTGAATTGGAAAGCAATAATTTCAGCATTTTTACCCCTATTTTATTAGGAAGGTGTCTTTTAAGGAGTCGGGCTCGTCTCTAATTCCCATTGAAGTGGAGGATCCTCCACTCTTTCATGACAACGCAACATGTCAGCACTTAATAATTTAATGGTCAAGATATTGCCAAACCAACCGACTCGTTTATCAGGCTCAAACAATGCCTTTTGAAGCCAAATTGGCACTAACAAAGCATTCATCAATTCTCCTTTAAATTTATCCGCCAAGGCTTTCAACACCTACTATGATGGAAGATCATCTTTATTTTCTCATCTTCTTCATCCTTCCAAATGCAGAATATTGTGCACAACAGGATACAATCCTATCACCTTTGTTACGGTGCTATATCAAAGTAGAGAAAATGTAGGAACCAGAAAAGTTACCTAGTTTGGTTGAGTTTTCATTTTGAAAAATCTCAAACAAGGTTTTAAAAAGCGGCCGCAACCGTTACGTAACGCTGTTACGTAACGGTTTTGGCGGTTACCGCCACCCGTTACGGCCGCTTTTGCAGTGTGAATGAGATTCACAGGTGTGTCGGTCGTAGCGGCTACCGTAGCAGTCGTAACGGTGTCGTAACAGCCGTAACGGCCTGTTACGCACCGTTACGTAACGGTTCCAAACTGTTTCTTTCAAAAAAACACACAAAAAAAAGCTGAAAATGGGGGAAAAGAGATGGAAAGAAGAGGGAAGATAAAGAGAGAAAATGGAGGAGCAAGAGATAGAAAGAGAGAAAAGGGAAGATGAAAAACATGTTATTGATTTGTTGAAACTGTAAGACCTATGCTATTCTATTCAGCTGCTATCACTAAACCATTTTGTTTGTGTGTGTCTATCTATGTATTGTTTGAAAATAATAATAATAATAAGTGTGGTCATTATCTATTTGGCTTGGTAAAAATACGTATATATATATATATTTAGACTCTTATTTATTCTCTTACTTTACCTAGTTTGGTTGAGTTTTCATTTTGAAAAATCTCAAAGCTAGTTTGGTGAAAAAAAATGAAAGGGTGCATACTGTGTGCCCTTTATATATCACTATGATTCGTAACAAAACCACAATGATTCATAATTTTTCTCATCACAATAGCTTGTAACTTTATAATGTTCATAACATAACCACAATGGTTTGTAATTAAAACATTTTTTATGGTGCTCTCCTTCGTAACATAATCACAATGGTTCGTAACTAATGCCACAAAAGTTTTCTTATGAAAAGGGGTGTGTACCATAGCCTTTCTCATAAAATTAACATCCATAATAACCTAATTTGAATAGAAATAAAAAAGAATGAATTTGAGCTGATGAGTCCTCCCAGTCATATTTAACAAAAACTTACCACTTCTATTGATAATTTGTTCTCCTTTCTTCTAGCAAACAATATGCTTGGTGATGTAGAAATCAAAATCAATGATTACACTTGTTGCATTAAAAACAAAGCTAGAGTTCTTGTGTCTTACGATATGAGTTTGGAGTACAAAAAAGATGAAAATAATGGAATTCTACTGGGGGAAAAGGTAGGGCTGTGAATTCAGAAAATCTGGATGATCTTGGTGGAAAACTTTAACGGATAATTGATGAATGCTCCTTTAGTGTGAATCTGGCTTCAAAAGGCATTGTTTAAGCCTAAAATGAGTTGGTTGATTTGTCGAGGTCTTGACCATTAAATATAGTAAGTTCCATGAAAGATTGGAGGATCCTCCAATTCTAAGGGAATTCTAGGTGAATTGGACTCCTTTTAAATATTGGATATTAACTAAATAAATGTGGCCTGACATCTTTCTGCTGCCCTGGCTATTTGGTGTTGCTTTGTGAACTTTGAAAGATTGTAATTTATTTCTTTTTGTTGCTTTGTTGTTCCCTTTGACCCGAATCCTTTGTTCTTGATTTATTTGGACTCCTAAAATGTTAGTTAGAAATTTAACCACAGCAATATCATCTTTGCAAGTTAATACATTCTGTCATATATGTGCATCCTACAGTTGCCTTGCTTTCAAGTCAGGTAGTACAAAACTGCTGGGGCCACAACCTTCTGTCCCTCCTATCTTAGAAACAGCAGTAATTTGAAATTTCAATTGTTTTGCCACATCTGTCAGATATCATCTTTGCAATTTTAGATATTCTGTCAGATATGTACATCCTGCAGTTACCTTGGTGTCTAGGCAGGTAACTACGCAACTAGTGAAGCGTCCGCCTTTTCTTGCCCTACTATTTCAGAGACTAACAATTTGAAATTCCATATTGTTTTGCAAAATCTAGATAAATTGCATGAGTCCAAGAATCCATCCAGAGTCAGGCTTGTGTCTCTTTTAATGTGTTCTTTGATAGGGGTGCTTCCATAAAATATTTCAGGACGCCTAGCAGTAATAATTTTTGTAGTTGTTACACTATACCCGAAAGAGAAAGTAAAAAATATTTGATGACACATGGACGTGTCTCAAGACTCAAAAATCTTATCCGTATATCTTATGTTGTTTTGATGAAATTTATTGATTATAGCAAAATAATTAACTAAATAGTTTATTGAAACTTTATTTCTTTACATTTTTGTGTCATAAAATCTCAGGTGATAATGGTCCACTTCAGCTGCTAATGTTGATTGATGGATCCTGAAGGCAAGAAGTTTGGAAGAGGTAATATGCTTGGAACATGTTTTTAACATTTTACTGAAGGTGTGCATGTATTGCTTAAGCGTTCTTGTCTGTATTTTTTGGGACTTTGTGGCATAATTGTTGCTCCGTTTATGCTTGGTGGTTCTTATTCATTTTCGATTATGAGATCTAAGGTTGTATTTTGTTTCATGCATGGCTCACTTTACTTGTTTACCTTTGTGAGACATTACAAAATGGAGGCCCATCTTGCATCTGAAGATGGGCTCAAGCACATGCAACAGGTTCTTCAATAACATCATGGTCAGGCAAGCTGTTTTATGAGCTTTTGGTTTAGTTTAGGTGAATGAGGTTCTTTTCTCGAAACTATTTTTATATTTACTGTTGGTATAAATGGATCCATCGTGGGTATGTTTATGCATTGTCTAATCTTTAGTCTATCTAGTTGGGTCATGTAGTCTTCTCTCTCAGGTAAGTAAGTACGTTTTATTACCAAAAAAGAGAAGAGAATAATCCAACGAAGCCCTTTACATGCTTCGCAGGGCACGTATCTCCAGAGAGAATCAAATCCCTAGTCTAAAGGAAATAAAACTCTCCAACAGCCAAAAAAACTAGGCAAACATGCCCTCAAACTCCAGTGGTTTTTCCAAACATGTATGCATGAAGGGAAGGCAACAAGGTCATAACAAATGAGTCCCACCAAATCATGCCCCATCATACTGGCCAAGATATTGGAAACAAGGTGCATACATGAAAGGAAAACCAATGACTCCCCAAGCCATATTAATTAGCAACCAATGAAGGCCTCATCCGAAACAGTTAACTTAAAATAGCACCTCCTGATACAAGGCAGAATGCCCTCATCAATGAACTTCACTGAACACAGCTGTAAGATGAGGAGGGCACCAACTCAGATCATCCAATTAGAAAGGCTAGGCAAAGCCCTCATCAACTGATCCAGGAATTCCACCAGAGAAAGGCACAGAAGCTGTGGACAAAGAGCTGGAACCATCCCCAAAACCAAATAAAGTGGTGAAGAAACAGGGGAAAAGCTCAAACAAAACTTTAAAATCAGAGAAGGCAGAACCTAATCAACCAAACCCTAAATATAAATCAATAAGAGCAAGGGGAGAAAACAGGCTAGCTGGCTCAAATTTGGGGTTTATCTAAGGCTGATGATAAGGCAATAGAAAACCGGACTTATTCTCCATGGCAGCAAGAGCCATGAGAGAAGCTTGCAACTAAATAGAGAAACAGACAATAGTGCTCTCTCTCTCTCTCTCTCTCTCTCTCTCATGTGTGTGTACACTGCATATCTTGTGCTTGTATCTGTGCAAGCATGGATGCTGGCATATTACTTATTGGAATATAAGGCCATTGATATAACTGCAAGTCAAAAGAAGGGTCAAAGGAGCTGGAATTCGAGGTTCCGTGTGTGGTTAGCTATTGACCTTAGCCTGTGCAAAAGGATATTGAGATTTGTTATAAACAGACAGGTGGTATATGGGATGCATAAGATTTTCAAGCAGCAAACCTATACCTTTGTGAAAGCAACTTTACAGTTTGTAAAGTCTGTAACCTTCCATTTTTTTTTTGGGTCATGGATTCATTGCTTGAAAAATTATTCTAAATGGTCTGCAAGTCCATTTGTGGTGCTTCAAGGTGTCTTGATCAAGTTTCTGAGGCATGCATGTTGCATAAACTGAGGCATGCTTATCAGTTGTGGCATATCTCATTTTCCTTATTTTTTTCGTTGACATGCTTTGGGATGTTATAGCACTTAGATTTTCTCCCAACTTTTTTTTCTTAGTTGTTGTTGTTTTTTTTTTTTTTCACTTAAAGAATATGGTTTAGTTTCATAACTGCCATTGACTTTTGTCTTATTTGAATGCTAGGACCAAGAGAACTAACTGGTGCAGTGGATCTTATAAGTCACTACAAGTTGTTGCCTCACCATGAGTTCTTCTGCAAGAGGTCACTTCCTCTGTCGATTTCAGATTCGCGCTACCTTCACAATGTGGTTGGAGACACAGAAATTAGGAAAGGGGAAGGGATGCAATTGGATCAGCCCGTTCAGGATATATCTTATTCAAGAGAAACAAATACTCGCATACAGCCTTTTGACCTAGATGTCCTTAGAGAAGCCTTTCAACTGAGAGAAACTACTCCCATTGATCTTCCTGCTGTAAAAATTTTGCTACCCTGAGGCTTTCTTTGGATTTTCTCATTTTATTTTAGTTGCTAGAGTGCATGATGATGGTTCCTTTTTTTGGAGTCTTATATCCTAAAAGCTCATGGAATATGAGATGGGTTTTTTTCAGCATTTGTTTTCTATACTCGTGTTGACTGTGGCAGAAGTACTGACCCAGTTGCATCTCGTGATTTATAGGCAGAGAAGGGGATTCCTACTTTTGCTGGGAAATCTAAAAGTGAGTCCAAAGATAAGGAGAGGAAGCATAAAAAGCACAAGGATAAAGATAGAGAGAAGGATAAAGAACGTAGGAAGCACAGGCACCACCACAAGGATCGAAGTAAAGACAAGGACAAGGAAAAAAAGAAAGAAAAAAGTGGGCATCACGATTCTGATGCTGAACACTTGAAGAAACAAAATGAGAAGGTTAGGCTTTTGGATTTTCATCTGGATGCTTTGTTAGTATGTTTATAGTTTCTGGTATTGTAACAGAATTGTGACTGTCCTGGGTTAGTGTGTGCTATGACTGCTCTATTACTTGTGGTTTCAACTTCTCCTGGAGATGAGTTTTAGGGTTGTCCCAAAAGTGATGTTTCTCTTATGTATTAAGCTCCAATAGAACTATTCTTTTTTGGACTCTTGAAATTAACTGCAAAGATGAGAAGGAAGAACTATTATTGTTTTTTATTGAGATTCAGTTCCCCCCGCCCCAACCGCGGACCATGCATCTGAATATTTTCTATTTAAATAATTTCAGAAAAGGAAGCATGAGGGAGGTGAAGAACTCAATGGCGTTCATAGTCACAAGAAAAGTAAGGTAATAACATGGAGACAGGCTAACTTCAATTAGTTTTGGTAGGATTTTTTTATGAAGTACTGCTAATAAGTAAGAAATTGCTTTGTAATCTTTTTTGCCTTTTGAAATCTAAAATTAACAGGAAAAAGTGTATGTTGACTTTCTATCCTTTTAAAAATTCACTCTTGAAATTAATTTATTTGGTAGGCCTGATGATATTTGTTTTATCAATAATTATTTCAAAGATATTTGTTTTATTAATAATTATTTCAAAGATAATAAATGCATTTATTAAAATTGCTTGTCCCCCTTTTCCTTGTACTTCCTTTTTTCTTTAATAAAATATCTTTTGTAGCCGAAAAAAAAAAAAAAGTAATAAATGCATTTATCTATGTTTTGCGTGGATAGTAGGTATATGAATATCGACGCATGTATGGTCACCTATAGGCATGAAAGGTATATTCATGTACATTTAAGTGTTGATGTATGAATTTATAGGTAAATGTGTATGCAGATAGGATATTGCATTACTGTGTATACAGGCATATGTTTGTGAAAGTGTTGGGGGAGTACATATACATGTTTGTGAAAGTTGGTGTATACGGTTGTTGTAGTGTATTATATATAGGCGCATACATGCTACTTTTTTATGGTTGAACATATCCATATAGGCATATATGCACACGTGTCCATGTGTGTTTGCTTTTGTGTGCATTGTGGTAATGGAGGATGGATGGGAGTGGGGGAGGGGGGAAATAGTCTTAAAGTTTAGTTTCTTGCTTGTAAAAGCTATATTTCTTGCTTTAAAAAGATCAAATTGTTTCATTTTAAATGCTCGTTTCTTGGGTGTAAACTGAACACCACTATTCACCTTTTTGCTTAAATTAGAGGATAATATTTTCCATGATATTAATGTCTGTTCATTGTTGACATCTATGTTTTACTTAAAAAAAAAAGACATTAATGTCTGTTCACATCTTGTATTCAGCTTCTCATATGGGTATTATGAGCATGCCCACTATGTCTATTTCGTGATCTTTCTTCTCAAGTGTGTCTTCTACTTATTTTTAAAATTATTGCAGCATAAGAGCTAAACGATTGATGAGATGGGCGCCATAAAAGTAGCAGGGTGAAAGATTGCAAGTAGTCTATTTTATTTTTTGTTCTCAGATGTTCGGTTGAGAATTTGGAGGGTCCATGCTAACATTTTTGAGGTACAAGCTGTATTTTATTATTATTATTTTATTTTTTACATTCCATTTTCTCTTGGTTCTGTGTGCTTTGTTGCATGCCTTTCTTTAAATTGTTCAGTAACCTGTGGTGCTATTGTGTTGGAGATGTGGCCAGAAATAGGCCTGAAAAGACTATTGTCTAACCTATATGCATGTACGGATATAAATAATTTGAACTCTCTGTTTCACCTGAAGGCTGAAACATACATATACCATAGACAAAAAAGAAGCCTCGTTACAGACTTGCCCTGAGTAGATGCAACATTGGAGTGTTCATATCCAGCCTTTCTTTTTTGTGTGTGTTTTGTTCTTGTATTGCAAGTTGTTATCACTTGGGGGAGTAGTCTTAACTTTATTGCTTGTCAGCATACGTTGTCCTACATAATGTGTGCTTTTCGTCCATGCAGGACTCTGGATTAGCTAAAGGTTGTGAAGGTGAATTCACCTGCTGAAGGGTATTCGATTGCAAGGTGCAAATAGCTGAAAAATGAAAATGAAATTTGTAATCATTAACATGCTAAACTTTGACCCTTTCTTTCAGTTATACTGGCACTTTGGAATTATATTTTACTGTTTTAGAATTTTAAATTTTAGTTTCATAATTAGTCGGTATCTGCTTGCAGCTGTGGATAGTGGAAGGAATTGTAGGTTAAGGGAAGGTGCTAATGTATATTTTGATTTATTCATCCCTTGTGTCCTAGAGATGACACTGACAAGCCTTCTCTAAGGTTGTGTTAATACACTATTGATAGCGGGGGAATCTTTGTAAATACTAAATATAAAAAAAACTGAAATTCAGAAAAAATTGGGATTCAGCTGTGTTTTCCAGCTATTGGCTTGTGATGCGGCTCAACTTTAGGCACGTTTTCTTCTCAGGCTTTGCTTAGGTATTAACGTCGTTGAAGTGACTTAAAGTTAGTGATTTGTGTTTTTCGGCTACTTTAGTTTAATCTGATTTGGAAAAAAGGTGGGTGAAAAATCAAAAAAATCACTATTTTAGCCATTATTTCGATCGGAGGTCTCTCAAGAAACTGACATACTAAAGTTTTTGCAAAGTCTAGCAATTTTAGCCATTAGTTCATAGTTCATATGGTTGAACCTAATTCATGTATTAATATTATGTAGCTATTGTCTTATTCTTCTGAATTAATATATATATATATATATAGAGAGAGAGAGAGAGAGCAATCATTGGTATATTTGGTTTCTTAGTTTTATGTCTGAATTGTAAAAAACATGTGTTGTGGGGTACGTAGATGGCAGTCTAAAATGGAAAGTTCTTGGAGGCTGGCTTACCCATCATCCCTTGAAACTTTTAGTCCATAGAATTATGATTCTCTCTAAGGAGAATAATAGTAGGTGTTTGGCACGTGTCCATTCTTTGGGAAACAAACCATCTGATATCAGTTCAAATTAAGCATGTAGTAGTGACAAAGGAGATATGGAATAGAAAAACAAAACATATTTAGCCCCATTACCACTTCTACGAGTCTAGTTGTCCCCCATGTGGAATTCTGGGGAGTTTGTGCCAATTGTTAAAAAATATTTTCAATTGTTTGCCATTCCATTTATTAATTGTCAAAATTTGTAAAATTTGTTCTATCTACAGCTTTAATGTTGATATTTACAGAGTATTTTTATTTGGCATTTTGCGAGGAAAATTGAAAAGGTGACACCTGTTTTAAAGTTTAGTTTTATCATTTTAATAACGGTATATGTAGTTTGGAGGTTTTTGTCATTTTAGTTCTTGATTTTTTAATTGTGATATATTTGACCTTAAATTATGAATCTCGTTCTCGATAAGAATAATTGAAGACACTGCTACTTAATTTCAAGAGCAAAGTCATTAATTTGATAATATATAAATTAGTATAATAAATATAAATGTCAATTTTTTTTTTTACCAATTTAAGATAAAATTATATAAAAATGATAAATCTTTTATATTTTTATATTTTTTTTTACCAAATTAATTTTTAATATGTGTTTGAATGATGATTATGTAATAAGTAGTTGTTTTTATTGATATTTTTAGATGATTATCATGTAATAGATGGTTGTATTTGTTGTTAACAAATATTTTTGGATGATTATCATATAATAGATGGTTATTCGGTTTTTAATGTGTAACCAATATATAAAATTTATATATGAAATATTTTTAGTTTTGGATTTTTTTGATTTAATGGATTAAATTAATGATGACATTAAAGCTGTCGCTATGTTTGACTTTTGAAAAAATAAAAGCTAATTTAATGAAAATAAATATAAAATAATATTTAAAAAAATTATTTCTACCCTTTCAAAAGATAAAATTATATAAAAATGATGTGTTTTTAAATTTTTTTTACCAATTTAATTTTTAGTTTCTTAGAAAAAAAATTTGAAAATAGATTTTAAATATCAAACCAAACCAAACCAAACAAAACTTTATAATTAAGAAAGTTCAATGTTATTGTTAAAAAAAAAAGTCATTACATTTCAAAAAATATACAAGTTAACTAATAAAAAATAAAGTTATATGACGACTTTGTTCTTAAAATAGACCGTTTGTAAAGAAAATATCTTTAATTATTCTTATTGAAAATAATATTCAAAATTTAAAATCAAATATATCATAATTAAAAAGTTAAAAAATTCAAATAATACAAATTCTAAATTATAAGAACGATTAATATAATTCGCTCAAATAATTAATTCTTCAGTTTGATTGAAGAATAAATGTATATAGATGAAGACATTTGTACACTTCAAGTTATGAATGGATGTTTCTCCTACTGCTTTGGTTAGAGTTAGGGTTAGGGTTATTTTTAACGCTTCATAAAATTTGGCATTTGGAAGCATGTGCCTTATGGTACAGGGGATCTTTGAGCATGCTGTGCCTCTGTTTGGAAAGTTGAGGTTGGTGTTTTTTTTTTTTTTTTTTAGATTAAAATAGCCGTAAAAAAATAAAATATATTTTTTAATTTAATAAGATAAAATATTACATTTAATTCATAATAATTACATTATTTTTTTCACAAAAAGTTAAAAAATTTAAAAAATCTTTTTGAAACGAGACTTTTTAACTCCAGGTTAAACTAGTCAAAAAATTTAAAAATCACCCCACTTATGATTAGCAAACCTTTGGAGGTTAAATAAAGGAGGAATTATATATAGGCGAGAAATAGAAAAAAAAATTATAAATATATATGAGGTTACGTGTGTCTATAGTAAGACAGAAATGAAAAACTATAAAGGTTTCTATGTGTTGATAATTTTTTTTTTAGTTCTTCTCTCACCTGCATTAAATAAATCAATTTGAAGTGTTGTTGTTTACACACTTGAAATCAGATTAAATTATTTCAAAAAAGTTGTGGCATGACCCGGAAAACCCGTTTCTCAGGCGGGCTTCCCATTTTCGCAATTCCTGCAAAAGTGCAGTTTCAATGTCATCAAAGCAATAACCCATTCAAACTAATCTTTTTTTAATATCATTATGTTACTATTATTATTATTATTATGGCGAATTATACTAATGGTACTTATAATTTGAGGGTCGTATCATTTTGGTCATTGGATTTTGTGACACATTTGACTCTGAATTTTAAATCTTATTTTAAATAAGGACAATTGAAAATACCATTGCTCAATTTCAAAGGTAAAATTGTCAATTTGATAAAATATAAATTAATTTGAAAAATAAATGCCAACAAAATATTTTTAAATTTTTTAAAAAAATTATGTAAAATTGATAAATCTTTTAGACATTTATTTATTTAATAAATTCATTTTTATTATATGTTTGGATGATAATCATGCAATGAGTGGTTGTTTTTATTTTCATTAAATTAGTTTCTATTTTTTCAAAAATCAAATATGGCGACAACTTTGATATCATTATTAAACCAATCCATTAAATCAAAAAATTCAAAACTAAAAAAATTTCATATATTAAATATACCGATTACACATTAAAATCCTAACAACCACCAATTACATGATTATCATCCAAACACATAATAAAAATTAATTTGATAAAAAAAAAATAAAAGACGAAAAATTTTATCAATTTTACATAATTTTATCTTTTGTGGATAGAAATAATTTTTAAAAATTTAAAAATATTTTTTTGACATTTATTTTTGTCAAATTAGTTTATATTTTATCAAATTGACGATTTGATCTTTGAAATTAAGTAATGGTATCTTCAATTGTCCTTATTTAGAATAAGATTTAAAATTTAAGATCAAATGTGTCACAATTAAAAAGTCAGAGACCAAGGTGACACGAGTCTCAAGTTATAGGGACTGCTAGTGTAATTTGCCCTTATTATTAATAGGGTTAAATTGGTCTCTCAATTATGTGTCATTTTAATCTCTGATATTTTAATTGTAATAAATTTGAGTTTTAACTTATTAAATTTATGTTTAAATGGCCTCGTGAACTTCTCCAATTTCCTCAAAATTTAACAAGAAATTCAATTTTGAGCTATTTAATGGTTAGTTAAATATTGTGCTATTATAGAAATAAGATTTTTTTGGGAGGGAAACGGTGCTGGAACTATTGAAATACAAAAATAATTTGAAAGTCAAATTAATATCATTGAAATATTATAAATTAAAATAAAACAAAACACATACATGTTTTGGAGGTCAATGAATTTAATCCTATTATTAATTTAAATATCATGGTCATTAAAAACCCATATGCGGCCAAATATGTAAAGTGTGGTTAAAATATTGGTTATGATATATATGCCATCAAAAGAGAGAGAGAGAGAGGGAAAAAAAAAAGAAAGAGAAAGACAAGAAATGAAAAACAAATCTTTATCTTCAAGCTTTTGTGGCTTTTTAAAACTTGAAACTTTATGGTCCATGAGACCACACTTTCATAAGCTTTTGGTGTTTTTTAAAATTCCAACATTTCAAAAGAATATAAAAAAAGTCATGAAGATTTAAACACCAATATAAAAAAGAAAAAAACAAAAAAAAAAGAAAAGAAAAGAAAAGAAAAGAGAAGCTAGTGTGTGATGTAAAAGATTAAAGATGAGATTTCTAGGCATCCCATGCACTCTCATATAGAATCTTTAATGTCAAAGCAAAAGAAATGATTTTTCAAGTGGGACAGCAATGGTTTATGGAATATGAATGATGCCAATGCTAGTGATGTTGACTTTGGTAAAAACAATTTAAGCTAATTTTTAATAGCTAAAATTTAATACACTTCCGTAATTAGTTGAATATCTCCCTAACCATGTAACATTCAAATATTTTATTTTTATAACATTTTTATAGAGTATAAGATGGCTTAAAAATTCAATACTAATAAGTAACTATATGGCTTGTGTAAATATTAGTTATCAATTAAAGTGTACAGTGACTCAATAATATGCATTCATTACAGGTAACAAGATGATTCTATCTAAAGTCGCTGTTTTACATTCATTCTAATCAAACTTCTCATTTAAAAAGAATAATCATTTTTGATATCTCACACTAATGTAGATGCACTCTGCAATATTGTTACAAAATGTACTTAATAAGTTTTTTTGTTTTTTGTTTTTTGGATTGATAGGAATAAAAATAGGGATACTTACGTGTAAGTCCTAATAAGCAGATTTATTGTCTAATAGGTCCTATGAGAAAAATTTGTCATAAAAAAATGTCACTAATTGTAAGTTTTAGTGACAATTTATAAAAATCATGACAAAAAAAAGTCAATAATTGTCAATTTTTAGAGCCGTATGTAAAAAATTATCACAAAAAAATTATTTTTAACGGCAATTTTACCAAAACTTATTTTTAATAGAATTTGATGGGAATTAAGTCTAAATATTA